TCCCCCAACCACACCCACAACTGACCCAACCACAACCACAACTGACCCAACCACAACCACAGCAGCTCCAACCACAACATCTCCAACCACAACCACAACTGAACCAACCACAACCACAACATTTCAAACCACAACCACAACATCTCCAACCACAACCACAACTGATCCAACCACAACCACAACTGAACCAACCTCAACCACAGCAGCTCCAACCACAACCACAACTGATCCAACCACACCCACAACATATCCAACCACAACCACAACATATCCAACCACACCCACAACATCTCCAACCACAATCACAACTGATCCAATCACTGTTTTCACTGCTTTAACAAGTACAGAACCATCCATAACTACATATCAGACAAATCCCATTTCTGAGGCAACTATTTTAAAAAATATAACAGAACCTCCAACTCCAGTGTATGTTGTCACAGCAATTATTATTGAACCGTTTGTTGACCAACTCAATAATAAATCCAGTCAAGAGTTTAAAGATCTTGAGAAAAACGTCACAGCAACAGTAAGTTTTATGGTTCTATTTGATATTCAAAATACATCTATTTTTGAATTATTCAAATCTATGTATGCATTGTTCTTATAACTGTACTTGTTCCACAGTGTGACCTCATCTACAAAACAAAGTTTGGATTCCTCTTCATCCGTAGCTATGTCATTGGATTTCGGTGAGATTTAAAAAGCTTGAGCTTTATTTCTCCTTCTACAAGCTGATTGTGATGGTTGAAATTATGATTTACATTAGATAGACTCAAATTCATAAATGTTCCTATTTTTTTAAGGTTATTTTCTGAACTTGTTATATTTATGATCATATTCCAGAGTTTCTATAGTAGTGGTGTTACAAACTAATTCTACCAAAGCAGAAATAGATTGCAGTTTAACCAAGTTTTAAATAGAAACATTTTCTGAACTTTATTATGGTTATGTTGCAGAAGTTCTCTACTACTTTATCAACGAATGAATAGTACTGAAGCAGAAGTGGGATTGGAGTTTAATAAAACTACATCTACTGACAATCTCCCAAAGAACGAAGTTGTACAAGAAACTTTACTCGAGGCAATGAACAGCACTTCTTTAAACATCACATTTGTACCTGGCTCCATTAAAATAAAATGTAAGTAAAACGATTTCTAACACTATGCAAACACACAAACATGTAGCCTTTTTTTGAAGCATTATTCCTTCAATCAGTCTGTGACTGTTTAGTTTTGATGAAACACAATAAGGGACTTTTTAAAAGCATCAAAACCTTACATTTCAAAGAGTTTCAATGTTATTCTTTGAAATTTCCAGGTTTTGCAAAAAACTAATTGTTCTGAGTCTTACCAGAAATAAAACAGACAGAAAACAACACATTTTTCTAAACTGAAATATGTACTGCCTTTTACCTAGAAGCTTATATTACATTGGATTTTATATAACATGAACTAATTTTTTAAAGCTAATTTTTCTGACTAAAACATCTTTTTGTGTTGCATTTTTGTCCTTTATTTCTGGCAGACTCTCCTTTGACAACCACAGCTCCCAGTACAAATTCTAGCATTACTGCCATCACAGCTACACCAACCACAACCACACCTACAACTGTGGAGTCATCGATAACAAGGCGACTGACTTTTCGGACTACTGAGGAGACGTTCACAGCTGATTTACTGAACCTATCATCTACAGCGTTTAGGAATCGAACTGCACTTTTAAAGTCCAATGTAAGTGTCATTTTACCAGTTGAATATTGGCATCTTTTTTTTTTTTTTTTAACAGGAAATTGCCTTTAAGTTTAACAGTTTTTTGAGACATAACCTTTAAGTTTTACAAAAGAACAAAGAAAGAACATATTTTCAGAAAATAAAAAGTGACTGTGTGTTTATACAGGAGGAGGCCGATTCAGGCTGTGAAGATCCAGAAATGCTGCATTTTCTGGAATCCAAATTTTGATTCGATTCTCAGCATGTTTGTAGATACAACAGGAGTCCAGCATTAGCACATTTTCTTCAATTGGGTATTTTTAAATAAAACAAAACAATAAATAAAATACCAAAAATATTTAAACTGTGATTAGAACTGTCCAGCCACTAACTTATACACTAATACAGAAATCATGAACAGATTAAACTGTCTTTTGTCCAGTTTTCTCTCTTCAGACAGTTTTTTTTTTAAATCAGCATGAATCAGTTTAATTTAATTTCAGTAAAATCTCACATGGACTCAAAAACATCACGTTATGCTCCATATCCCTTTGGTATAAATGGAAAAAAAGATTATTAAAAAAGAAAATGCATTGAGCCAGAATACATTTTATCAAACTACTAAACTATTAAGAGCATGGGGAAAAAAAACGACATAAAAACTAAAACAAAAATATTCTGGATATAATTGGTTTTCTTCTAATGCTTATTCAGACTTCACAACCTCGAGAAGTAGTTTGCTGCCTGCAGCATTTCTCGGAAGGTGGAGATTCCTCTCATCTATGATGTGTGTGTGTGTGTGTGTGTGTGTGTGTGTGTGTGTGTGTGTGTGTGTGCGTGTGTGCTTGCGTGCGTGTGTGTGTGTGTGTGTGCGCGTGTGTGTGTGTGTGCGCGCATGTGTAGATGCATGTGTATGCATGTGTGTGTAAAAAAAATTGTTTAATTTTACTAATACAAATATTTCAAACTTTGTGCTGAGTTTTGAGTTTGAACTTTAAAATTAACCATTTATAAAAACCGTTACATCTGTCTTTCTGCGTGCAGCTTGAACCGCTCTACAAGAATATGTTCCCTTCATTGTGCAGCTTCACTGTGATTTCATTCAGGTAGTATTTGCAGAGAAATTCTGATTATCGTTAAATGTAAAGATGCACTGATTAACTGATATTTTCTTATGCTTGCAGCAATGGGTCAATTGTCAACAACATTAATCTTGAATTTGCAACAGCATCTGCTCCAAATAAAACCCAAATTGTGAACGTTTTGGTCCAAGCAGTTTCAAACATCACAGTTTTCATTATCGACACAGATTCAGTTGTCGTGGATGTCACATGTAAGCCAAATTACATTCACATAAAAGAAAATACATGATGTAAATTATGCAAAGTTTGGTCAATCTCAGATAATTTTGATAAAATAATGTCCCGTGTCTCTTATCTGTTACCTTTGAGTCAAACTGCTATTTTATGTATTTTGATCTTTACTGGAAACCTGTAATAACAAATTAAAGACTTTGTAATTAATCAAGATGCATCATATTTGTAACAGATACATATACTTGAAACAAAGTCAGAGTTCCAATTCCAACTTATTTTGATTAAGACTAAATCCATAAATAGAAAAACATGTTTTGCATTATTACTATATACAATTACTACTTGGATTTAGAGGAAGAATGAATGTTATGGCTTTTATGCATGGGCTCATCATCCAACCATAGCAATTCAGATGCAGTGTTAATTTAAATGTCTTTATGCTACTAAGTGGGCAAGACGTTGCTGGTGCATGGACTCAGGGGTCAGCACCAGCCTATTTGGAGGCCCGAAAACAACTTGATCTGAAAGGAGCAGAACTGACCAAACTGAAATGTTATTATCCAAGAAGGATTTTGTGCAAAAAAGATGCAATGGGAATGTTTTGTATAGCCATGGATGTGTCCTGACCTGTTCAAAGAAACACAATAGGAAATAATGGGAAGTGCATTTACCTCTATGACTCCCAGAAAACTAGAAAAAAAAGAAACTGTCCTGCTCATTCTGGTGTTGAGTGGCTGAAAATATTTTGGTAATACAAAGTGACCAATGTACAATGTCAGACTTTTATAATGTACTTCTAACCTCATTGTGTTTTTAGATCCTGAAAATGCAGATGGCTTCAGAGCATCCAGACAAGATGAGACCAGCATCACTCTGCAGTGGAATAAAATAAACAACAACATCAGCTTTGTTCTCCAGTTTAATGGCACAGAGACATTCATCAGAGCTCCAGATGGAGATGGACCAGTGAACCACACAGTGTCATCTCTCACTGCTGGAACCAAATACACATTCACTCTCTTCTCTGAGTTTGAGAACGTTAGAAGTAGTGGAGTACAGCTCACAGCAGCCACTGGTAAGATGTTTAACATAATCCCTAACAATGCATTTTTGTATAGTTTCATGTTCCCATTGTTATACATTAAACATTAAATACATTAACTATTTCACTATTATCAAGATTAGTTAATGAGTAAAAGCATGATTGTATTGCTCAAGATGATTTAAGCAAGTTTCAATAGTTCAAAGGGATTTCAACCAAGTATTAAAGAAGTTTATATAAACCTCTGTTTTCAAGACAAAAAAATCATATATATATATATATATATATATATATATATATATATATATATATATATATATATATATATATATATATATATATATCAGCTCTTTCTGGTATTAAATTGCTAAAACTATTTTTCTACTTGTGTAACCTTTTGGATTTAGATGATGCAGTCAAAAGATGTACACCAAAATTCACACATTACATTCCTGAAAAGAAAAACCCAAACCCAAAGTACTACTACAAATATTGAGTATTGGAGCTGCACCATTTCTTGCTTTTTCATTGCAGTTGAATGAATCATAATGGAAACATGCCGAGTTTGGCACATCTTGCCCTTCCTCTGTAGTGGGTCCTGCTAATGGAGATGAAGCTGTTTGGATTAGAGTGAAGGATAATTGTTAAAGCTTTTCCATGGACAATTAGCTTTAGTGGCATGAATGAACTTCCCATCATGTTGTGTTTTTAGCTCCTGGAAATCCCGACGGCTTCAGAGCATCCAGTCAAGATGAGAGCAGCATCACACTGGAGTGGAATAAAATAAACAACTACATCAGCTTTGTTCTCCAGTTTAATGGCAGAGAGACATTCATCAGAGCTCCAGATGTAGACGAACCAGTTAGCCACACAGTGTCATCTCTCAGTGCTGGAACCAAATACACATTCACTCTCTTCTCTGAGTTTAACGATATCAGGAGCAGTGGAGTCAACGTTACTGCATCTACAAGTAAGATGTTCTTCATTATTATAGCACAAAGAAGGAATCATTAAAAAGTCCTAAATATGTAAAGAGGTGCTTTTGGAAATGCTCCTGTTATAATCTAGTCTGATGATCAATCAACCAGCACTCCACCTCACAACCATTAACAACCAATAAAACGTTTACAGGCCATAGAGGTTCACAATCAAACAGAAGAGAAATCACAGGCTTGACAGCACTTTGTTCAGAGGGTAGTATTGCAAGAGAAAAGCACTTGTGGGAGACAGGACGCCCAACACTGATTCCCTAAACATTGGTAAGGTGCACAGGAGGTCACGAATAGCTTTGCTGAACTGCTCACACTGCTCATTTCCAGCAGGATGTCAATTATATGTAGCTTTCTCAAGTCTAACAGGTCACACAGCTGTTGAATTCACATGCTCTCAAATCCAAATCCAAAATAATGAGGCTTTGATTACCAAACATGAAGAACCACTCAGTCAGCAACAGCTGGGCAACATTGGATGCTTTTTAGTCCCAGGTTGATACAGCAACTGTGTCTTCACCAAGTACATCAGTAATTATAAGACGTTTTCCCTACTCTTTTTCCAATGTGGTCAAATCCATGGCAACAATCTCAGTTGGCCATGATGCCAATAGATGACTCATGAATGTGTTTGAAGTTACATTTTTAGCAACCTGGCATCACTGACACTCTTGTACCCAACTGTACAGGATGCAGCTTGTGACTTTTCCTGTCCTGATACAAGGACTTGGTTTTACCCTTTACTCATAATGTGCCAAATATTTCCTTCCAACAGTTGCTAATAAGAGGACATGAGAAAAACATAAGGTAGAGAGAGACCTCTATAAGAAAGATTCTAATATTTTCTGATAACTTTAACTTCCAGATGTGTAAAATTGTTGATACTTTTAAAAGTGAGGTTAGCTAGGTCTAAGGCTCGCTCTTATTGGTGTATAACTGATAGCCTAAAAAACTGTAGAAATGATTAAACAACACTAGAGTAGAAGGAAGTGATTTTGGTTGGAGACATAAAGCAGGAGATCATCTGCATAATGGGAGATGCTATGCTGCACACCTTCTGTCAAAATTATAGATATATCTTTTCTACTGTGAAGTGAAGCTTTTTCCACAGCAAGCACACATTTGGGGTAAGGTAAGGTAAGGTAAGGTGAGGTAAGGTAAGATACCTTACCTGACCTTACCTTTGGGGTATAACTTCAGCAGCAGAATAGAGAACATAAAAAGCTTTCTAATGTTGACGTTAACAATGAAAGATATGGACTTTACATGAAGGTTCACTCCAGAACAAATAAGGAAACTGTTGTCAAGTCACTTCTCTATCTCGACTCTCTATCCATGTCCTTCTTGGCATAAAACTTTCATAGGTATTAAAGTTTCTCACTTGGACATTGACCAGCATTGCTAAAAACAATGTTGGTCCAGCATAGTAATACAATTTATGATTTGAAGTCTATTTGTCCATATGACCAGAAAACTAACGCAGTCTGATTTACAAGGATGAAACGAGTGGAATCTGTAAATGTACATTCACAGAAGGCGACTGTTTTTTTGTGTGTTTTAGAAGAAGCAAAAGTCTTGAAATTAAAGTTGAATATTAATATATGTTTCTTCTTCTGCTTCAAGGTCAGATCAGGTTAACTGGTGCTGGATTTTCTCGATGTTCTGGAAGAGTTGAAGTCTACCACAACAGCACCTGGGGAACAGTCTGTGATGATTATTGGGGTTTAAACGATGCCAATGTGGTCTGTAGAGAGTTGAACTGTGGAACGGCAGTGAAGGCTACCAGTACAGCCTTCTTTGGTCAAGGAACAGGACAGATCTGGCTTGATGACGTGTCGTGTTCTGGCTATGAAACTTCACTTACACAGTGTGGGCACAGAGGATTTGGGGTACACGACTGTGGACACAATGATGATGCGGGTGTCATCTGTTCAGGTAAAAACAACTTATTTCATTAAAAAAACAGTGTTTTGTTCAAGTTATTTCATTTTTATTTATAAAAAACTTCCAATGAACACAAAGAAATAAATGGATTGGTTTTGAAAAGTAGAAGCTATTCAATGTGTTATAACATTACAACATTTATTTCAGTAACTCCATTTCCAGAGTGCCATTTTATGTAGAAGAATTACCCACAGACTGAAATTTTCTCTAAATGTTAAAGGTTATTCACTATTTCTTATGATGATGACAATATGGCATAAGATCAATTACAAAAAAACCTTAATACAAAATGCGGGCCTGATAATAAGTATGCTTATTACCTGGTTAAAGACTGAGGCAGAGGTCTTCGGTGGCTTGTTCAAGTGAAGTAATGTGTTAAATGTGGAGAATTAAAGAGATTTTTTTTTGGTCCAGTTTAGAGTCGATTGCAAAGGACGACCTGTGTGTTGAGTTGACGTCCATGCAACTTGCCAGTTTTGACTCTTGCAAGAAATCTTCATTTCAAGCTTTAAGTTCATCTGAGATCTTAAATCCTCTTGCGGTCTTAAGAGAAGAGGTCTCCTAAGAGGTTTCTTTTTTTTTTTTGTTTATTTTACCTCAGTGCGCAGTCCAGCACAGTTTCTCTGACCCTGCGTGTGCTTTTGCAAGATTTGGTCTGACAGGACAACACTTCCGCTTGCTCCTGAGTGTTGCTCTAAGACCGTGGGAAGATTAAACCTTTTTAGTTTACAAGATGGCAAAATTCATGAATTACACATTCAATTTGCAAGAATAATACATAACATGGATTTTTGACTTGTACACATACACATGCAAAAGGTATAAATTCCCAGCCATTTAATTTTACAAGGTTATAAAACTCAATTCAAAACTACACAGTCTGATTTGCAAATAAAAGCTATGAGGGGGATTTGTGAAAATACATTTGCTGATAGTAACTGGATTTTCTTGTGTTTTAGAAGATGCAATATTGTTTAAATTCAAGCCAAATAATACAGTGTTTCTTCTTCAAGGTCAGATCAGGTTAGCCGGTGCTGGATCACCTCGATGTTCTGGAAGAGTTGAAGTCTACCACAACAATATCTGGGGAACAGTCTGTGATGATTATTGGGATTTAAACGATGCCAATGTGGTCTGTAGAGAGTTGAACTGTGGAACGGCACTCAAAGCTACCAGTACAGCCTTCTTTGGTCAAGGAACTGGAGAGATCTGGCTTGATGACGTGTCGTGTTCTGGCAATGAAGCTTCACTTACACAGTGTGGGCACAGAGGATTTGGGATACACGACTGTGGACACTGGGAGGATGCTGGAGTCATCTGTTCAGGTAAAAATTACTTCTACTTCTGAAAAAATGCAACATTGTTTTTATGAAATAATTTTATTACTGTTTATATATAAAAAACTAACAAAACGAAATATGTTTTTTGAAAACTCAGTAGTTACTTCAGCGTACTATAAAACACAACTCACTGGCTCAGTTACTCTACTGGAATAATGATACATTTATTTCTATTACATCAAGTATGATTTTATGAAGGACTTAAATAAGTACAATTTCTTAATATTGTTGAATATCCATCCATCCATTTTCTTACACCCTTGTCCTTAGTGGGGTCAGGATGGGTGCTGGTACTGATCTCCAGTTAACGTTCTGGCGAGAGACGAGGTCACCCTGGACAGGTCGCCAGTCTGTCACAGAATATTGTTGAATAGAACATTAGAAACTAGTTGGGTGCATTTTTTTTTTTGTAGGATAAAACATTTATATAAAGCCTCCAGGGGAAGCAACAGCTCAATTTGACAATTTAAACACTAATTTCAAACCAATTGTTTTAAATGTAGTGTTTAATTCCCATGTTCCACAGTGAACAGTTCCTGGTTAGTTGTGCAGCAGTCTCCACTTCTGTTATTCATAAACAGAAGTGGTTGTATAATTGATATATACAACCACTGTATATATATGTTTGTATAACTGAGCTTCTGTTTGCAGCCATTTTTACATGCGAGTGTAAATGTTGAGTTGGGGGCCAGCAGCAGCCGAATGATTTAAAGTTACAAGAGGCCCTAAAACAACTTATTCTGAAAGGAGCAGAACTGACCAAACTGAAATCTCATGATCCAAGAAGGATTTTTTGCAAAAAAAATTGAATGAGCATTTTGTGTACAGCCATGGACATGTTCTAATCTGTTCAAGGAAGCATAATAGGCCACCTATAAGGAAGTGTATTTACCTCTAAGGCTCAAAGGAAGCTAAAATCAAAACAGTCTTGCTCAATCTGATGTTAAATGGCTAAAATATATTGGCAATACTAAATGACCAATGTACAATGTCAGACTTGCCAAGTTTTATCATTTTCTTCTCATATCGTTGTACTTTTAGATTCTGAATACGGCTTCAGAGCATCCAGACAAGATGAGACCAGCATCACTCTGCAGTGGAATAAAATAAACAACAACATCAGCTTTGTTCTCCAGTTTAATGGCACAGAGACATTCATCAGAGCTCCAGATGGAGATGGACCAGTGAACCACACAGTGTCATCTCTCACTGCTGGAACCAAATACACATTCACTCTCTTCTCTGAGTTTGAGAACGTTAGAAGTAGTGGAGTACAGCTCACAGCAGCCACTGGTAAGATGTTTAACATAATCCCTAACAATGCATTTTTGTATAGTTTCATTTTCCCATTGTTATACATTTAACATTAAATACATTAACTATTTCACTATTATCAAGATTAGTTAATGAGTAAAAGCATGATTGTATTGGTCAAGATGATTTAAGCAAGTTTCAATAGTTCAAAGGGATTTCAACCAAGTATTAAAGAAGTTTATATAAACCTCTGTTTTCAAGACAAAAAAATCATATATATATATATATATATATATATATATATATATATATATATATATATATATATATATATATATATATATATATCAGCTCATTCTGGTATTAAATTGCTAAAATTATTTTTCTACTTGTGTAACCTTTTGGATTTAGATGATGCAGTCAAAAGATGTACACCAAAATTCACACATTACATTCCTGAAAAGAAAAACCCAAACCCAAAGTACTACTACAAATATTGAGTATTGGAGCTGCACCATTTCTTGTGAATGAATCATAATGGAAACATGCTGGGTTTCGCACGTCTTGCCCTTCCTCTGTAGTGGGTCCTACTAATGGAGATGAAGCTGTTTGGATTAGAGTGAAGGATAATTGTTAAAGCTTTTCTATGGACAATTAGCTTTAGTGGCATGAATGAACTTCCCATCATGTTGTGTTTTTAGCTCCTGGAAATCCCGACGGCTTCAGAGCATCCAGTCAAGATGAGAGCAGCATCACACTGCAGTGGAATAAAATAAACAACTACATCAGCTTTGTTCTCCAGTTTAATGGCAGAGAGACATTCATCAGAGCTCCAGATGGAGATGGACCAGTTAGCCACACAGTGTCATCTCTCAGTGCTGGAACCAAATACACATTCACTCTCTTCTCTGAGTTTAACGATATCAGGAGCAGTGGAGTCAACGTTACTGCATCTACCAGTAAGATGTTCTTCATTATTATACCACAAAGAAGGAATCTTTAAAAAGTCCTAAAGATATTCTATGAAAATATATAGAAATGCATTGATACATATTTGCTGTGCAATTTAACAAAAAAGAGAAACATCTGTTTCTAGACTTTATTGGATGGGCTTCGTATCCGTTAACTGCTTGCAGTTCTAGTTTATCTTTATTTCTTCTTGAAAAGAAAATGATTCCAAGCTAGTTGAATCTAAGCTTCTCCTTCTACAAGAAAACATTTTTAATGTCCTAATGAAGTTTAAAATAAGGTAATGTCTTATTACCATCACATTTTTTTTCGTTTGAAGTCCTGAAATATTTATTTTATACCTTTTGCTTTTTCCTGCATTGACTAATTACTAGAGATCTAACAGTGTAGATTTATTGGCATTTATTCACAAGATTACTTACTTTAATTAACCAAAATTGACATTTTTTTTTTACGTCCATGTTTGTTTAAAATTTGCTCCGTTTCTGACGTATTTTCTCCCATGCTTGTTTTGACAGGTTCCAGGTCTACATCATCCAGGGTTTGCAAATGTACACTGGTGTCCAATACATGTGAACAAACATCAAGATCTTAATTACATAATGCATGTTATTACATATTACTCCTTGTATAAAAGCTTAATGTCTATAACAATATAATTACTGTGCTGTAATAATTTGATTTAAACATGTAATAATTATTTTTACTTGTTGCTGAGGGATTCACCTGGAAGGCATAAGACATTTATGTTCTTGTCAAACATTAACTGTTTGTGTGATTTTATGGTCTTTTATGAGTTAAAAAAAAGAAAAAAAATCAATTTTGAATAAGGACGTAACTTATTTCTTGAGATGCTTCTAAGCCTTGACTAACTGCTTTTAAGCTTATAATATTTATAAAGATGTATTCAAAGTGTGCTTAAAATGGTGTTGGTATGTTTCATTTTCATTTTAAGTCTTTAAAATTAGAAAATAAAAGTGATTGCAAAACTCAGGTGTGTTCTCTCATTTAGGTTTTCGTAGCTAAAATGAATCTGGTAGTGGAAACTAGACGTACAGGTGATCAACTATACTGTACGAGTTTCACCTTTCTCAAAAGTGGATCAGGTTTGGACACATTCGTAAGTCTGGGAAAGGCTTTCACTTTATTTAGGTGAAGAGTCTCTTTGTTAGTCATTGTTCCTCTGCCACTATTACATCCGATTTACCAGACATTGCCTTTGGTAGCACAAAGAAAGGCCAGGACTTACTTTCCATAATGACCTAAAGCACAAAAGGGACTTTCTGCGGTCCAGATATTGAAATGGGAATGACTAATAGGAACAACAATGGTAGTGAGAAAAATCCATCTGAGAACAAAAGCTGGTGTTTCAGAAAAAAAATATAAAAACAAGACAGCAGATACAATCAAGACTGATCTCACTGTGAAAGATCTTCAGGAATGCAATGAAGCTCAGCAATTTCAAAATCACAGTTAATATGAGGGGTTCAGGTTTGGGAGTTTTTCATCCAGAGAACTTTTCCCTTGCTCATTTAACTCTTAAATCAGTCAGTTAAAATTGTTGTGGAATACTTCTTGTCACATAACAGCATCTGAATAAACAACAGAGTTCCCAATTTAAAAAAAATACTAAAGTAAAACTACAGCAGCTCAGTTCATTGAAAATTAAAACAGTTAAAAATGAAAGTAATAACTGGATTCTGTAGGAAGTGGGGATTTTATTTTGGTATTGCCGCTGCCTATGCAATGAAAGGTTAACCGGAAGAGGAAAACGCAGGGATTATAGTGTGTACCCAGCATCCTGGGTGCACCGAGCATCCTAAAAATAAACTCTAAATAAATCTGCCTTGATTATTCTTTTTTGGGGGCATAACGCATTTTATTACTGAGGACTGATCCATTGTTTCCGCTGAGGAGGGGCTGCTGTTGTTGCGGACTGTAGCTGCAGCAGGCCACCCACCATCTGTGGAAGTGGGACAGCGGAACAGATGGCGTGTCCAAGCCGAGCCGCGGGGCTTTGTCCAGCACAAGAGACAAGGTGCCGTCATTAAAATAGCCCGCCTTTACCGTTTGTTTTATTTTTTTTGCGCGACTTTCTCCTCCACCGTAATCAGCCATGTTGGCGTGACTGGATGCAACTGGAGGACCGAAACGCGTCCCTGTACCGCCTGAGCCGAGACCAACCCCCGCCGACTTAATCCCTCTTTAAGTCCGTCTGGGTGAACAATGGTCGACAACCGCTACGCCACCGCTCTGGTCATCGCCTGCGTGCTGAGCATCCTGGCCACCGTGTATCTGTCGGTGGCCATCGGCACACAGCACTGGTACCAGTACAGCAGCCCCACCGTGCGCGGCGAGGCCAACGTGTCCGAGCTGCGCTCCCTCTACGACGAGTTCATGACCGGGGAGTTCGACGAGAAGACCTACAGCGACACGCTGTTCCGCCTCAACGGGACCGTGGGGCTGTGGTGGCGGTGCGTGCTCGTCCCACCCTCTGCTCACTGGAGCAGGGAGCCAGGTATGTGGCAGTGACCCCCAGTGCCCCGAGGCACACCTGCAGACATACCCAGCTTGCACACCTTTCACCTGTCGCCGCAGGTGTTACTCATAGTGGTTGGACTATCATCTATTCTAATTAACTGAATTGCATGTGCCAAAAACCGTGAGTCACTGCAGCTTGATGAAGGTTAGATTGGGTTAGGCCACATTCTTTTCGTTTTAGTATCAGTTCAATTGTTTCTTCTCCCAAGCACTTTTAACAAGGTGCCTTTTTTTTTAATTTGTTTTGTTTTTATTACGCAACCGCTACGCCACTGCTGTGGTTATCGCCTGCGTGCCAAGCATCCTGTATCTGTCGGTGGCCGTCGGCACGCAGCACCGGTACCAGTACAGCAGCCCATGTGCTTGATTTTCACCCAAAGACTCACAACCACGACAAAATAACATAAGCTCCAATTATTACCCTACGAGAAAAGCAATAAGCATCAAATAGTTCCAAATCACCAGACCAGACTCAAAGGCCACAATCTGCGCATGCGTAAGAGTTTTTGGAGTAAAAACATTCAACACAAACTACAGGTAAAAATCAAAGTTTGCCATTAATTGAATCTATGGTATTGATGTGCAATTAAGTTAATTTGCAAAGCGAAAGGGAGCAGCATACCTGTGGAGGAGAGTAGAGTTGGCACTCAAGGTTTAACAAAAAAAACACCAGGTTCCCAGGTGTCTCATATCAGTAATCAGTGTTGCACATAAGGAGAAAGCCCAACCTAGCCACAAGGGTCTTTACACCACAATAAAGTGAAAAAGTCTGGCTGAGCATGATGTTATTGGAAACTTTTTATTTACTGAAGTGGTACATACCATTGGTTTGTGAGCTATGAACAAATAGCTCAACTGAATTTGATTAACATCTGAAGTGGCTGCAGTTTGTGTTTTCTAGTCACTGAAGCATAAGTACAGTTATTCCACTGATTAGCAAATTGATGGATTGATGCTACAGATACGGCAGTTTTTGTGTGTGTGTGTGTGTGTGTGTGCGTGTGTGTGTGTGTGTGTGTGTGTGTGTGTGTGTGTGACATTGTTGGGATTTTTTTTTTACACACTACACCCAGTTTTGCTCCAGTTTTTGTTAACTGAATTTTCCGACTCGTACCCAAAGTAAACAACTAAATCTATGGCGACTGCCTCTTTCAGATCCGAAGATGTTGCTGGAGTGTCGAAACTTCACTCTGCTGGAGCAGTTCACCCCTAAATACAAGGAGCCAGGGAACCACAACAGCGGAGAGGACATGCTACGCACCTGTACGTTCAGAAGACACGCACACAACAAAAATCCACCCTCTGTTGCGTGACCGAAATTTGCATGACAACGAACATGTAACTTCTTCGTCACAGTGTGGTTTACCAGTGACATGTTTTGATGTGTCTCCTGTGAAAAGATCTGTGGAGGTGCCAGTTTCTGCTGCCACTGTCGTCTCTCGGTCTGGTTGTGCTGGCGGGCCTGATTGGGTTTTGCGCCTGCCTTTGCAGAAGCCTCACTCCCACATTGGGCATTGGAGTTCTTCATCTCTTGGCTGGTAAGACCGGTTTTTCTGCATCTCAAGGCAGCAAACAATGCAGTCTGTCATTTACCACTCTAATTAAGATGTCAGCACAGACTCTTCAAAGGGTGACCTACTTGTCAATGTTTTCTGTCCTCCATGTGCCAGGATGTACAGTACTGTAAAAAAAATCAAATAAAATGAAAGCATTTCTGCTTTAATTCACATCCATAAAATCAGAACTTCCAGTACAGTAAAATTATCTAAATGGCTCTCATATAGCTACAGTATATAGTTAACTTTTCTAGTCCACGTTTGGACATCATTTTTGCTGGGGACTCAAAATGCATTGACAAAATATATGCCACACAAGAACCCCACTGACACCCTGAACGGAGCAACTCAAATCAACCTGGAAACGTTTTTCTGTTACGTTACTGTCCAGTTTTGATGAGCCTGTGCGAATTGTACGTTTAGTTTTCCTAACTTTAGCTGTCAGGACTGGCATCTGGTGGGCTCTTCTGCTAGCGCATCGGCTCAAAGTTAGCTTTCTGATATGGTGTTCTCCAGATATTGGTACTAACGAGTTTTAGTTGAGCTTCTGCTGCCTGTCTGTCTTCTTAAGCTAATGTCTCTGTACTCGTTTGACATCGACAAGGCGTTTTAGGCCACAAAAAACTGTTGCTCACTAATCGTCTGTACTTCGGTTCATTTCCTCCCCTGAGTGGGCATAAATATCCCTCTCAGAAAGTAGGACCTACATGCAAAGACACTTTAATCCAATTTATTCCAGATTCTGACGCTTAGTTTGAACTTCAACGGGTTGGCTTCACCTCATCTCAATGCCTAATTCATTAAGTTTCAGGCCCTTTGACTGCTTGATTCACTAGTTTTATAATAGCCAATTAGAAATGTGTATCTACTAAGGTGGCCAGTGATTGTATATGTAAAACAGAAATGGAGAACACCTAACCCAAAGTAAGCGCAAAGGAGCATAAAACAGAGTAATGAGATGCTGAGCAGAAAGTTCATTGATTGGCTACAGTGAAAAGTCGTGGTTTGGTAGTTTGATTCGATGAGCGATGTTGCAGTTCTTATCAGAGCCTCTTCAGATTTTCATCTAGGAAGTGACCAACTTTCCATTTCTGTACAAGCATACCAAAAACTCAACATCATGGGTTGGAGCAGGACTGACTGATTCGAGTTCAGTCACAGACAGTGAAATCGTCTTGACAAAGAACAGAACAAAAAGCAAACCCAGAAAACAGGATCATTGAGACAAACGCAAACGGTTTTACCCCCGGACGTCAATTTATATTTTCACGTTTCAGTTAACCGCCGCATACGTTTTCCTCAAGATTCACGTCAGAAACCGGATTAGCAAAGCAAACTCTTGACAGGTGTCTGTGTCGTGCATTTTCCAGGTCTGTGCACCCTGGCCACAGTGTGCTGCTACCTGGCTGGGATGGACCTGCTCCACAGGGTGTCGATGCTTCCCGACAAGGTGGACGGCTCCCTCGGTTGGTCCCTTTACCTGGCCCTCATCTCCTCGCCCCTGCACATGATGGCTGCCGCGCTGCTGGTGTGGGCGGCGCGCAGTCACAGCCAGAACTACTACCGCATGACTGCCTACCGGGTGGCGTGAATATGTGGTTTTTATCCCACCTTATGTTTTAAAGTCTAGAGTAAAAACCCTACAGTATGCTGCATTCATTTAATTTGTTTTTTCTCTAGGGCTGCTGATGTGAAAAGATAAAGTTGAGTGTAGCACAAAGTCCAGGTCAGAAATACAGAAAATTAGCTGATGTTTTTAAATTTAGATTTGTTGGTAAAACCTCGAAATCAACAATATTAAAAAATACCTGCCTGGATCTCTGGTTAAGCTTTAATATAATTTACTTCCACAGGAGTAAAAACAAGGTTTCCTCAACGCTTTTAAAAGCGACACCTTTTCTTTTATGTCTTCTTAAAACGACGACACCAAACTCCACAAGTGTAGTTCACTGGTTTGCTACAGTCAGGCTATAGCAAAGCAAGGTGGAGGTTTGTTATGCTGTGGTTTGGCTGTGTGTGTCACTTAATCTGCTGAAAAAATAATGAAGATCAAAAACATGTTGGACCCAAGTGCACCACCCACTGTCATGTGAAACTAGGCCATGGGAGGAGGTTTCTGAGGCAAACACCCCCCAAAACAAAGGCACGAAATGAAAAGGTTTTTTTTTAAGTTGGCATGTGAACTGTCCTGAACCAAGTTGAACCTTTTAAATTATTAAATGATCCATGTCACCACAAGACATAAAACATCCTCATACCTGATAGAGAAAGAGAGCCACAGATCAGGACTTGGATGCCAGATGCTATTGGCAGGTTGTTCCTGTTGAGGATGTTTACGGAGTTAGTCAGCAGGGAGTGTTCTCTGTCTTCAGTCTTGGATTATTTCGGTAGTTGCTTTTTATCTTCAAATCAATGTATTTATATTGCAGCGATTTACAATAATTATCATCTCAAAGTCCTTTATGAAACATGCCGATCTAATTTCTAAGCAAAAATTGTAGTTATAATGGATTCCAGTCGGGTTCAGTTTATAACGCTAATTGGCAAAATGTTGAGAAATCACTGTTGATTGCATCAAGTCACTGACTTTGCAGCAATCCCTCCTCCAGGGCAAGAAAGTGGGACATTGACTTTTACTTTGCAGCAATCCCTCGTATCTTGCCGAAGTGGAAAAGAACAGGCAGCCCCAACCACTAGCAGCAGCAAAGTGAAGCCATCGTGTGGCTTAAATTATAAAGTGAAAATTCATCTGCCTGTTTTAGTTTGGACGCATTCATTTGGTTGAGATACAGAGAAGGATTCAACCTTCATGCAGACTCTTTCAAATAATTTTGATACTTAAGTATTTTGTAAGCCGGCTGCTTCCTTCCTTGTGATCTTTGTACGCTGTTGATGCACGCTGCACGCCTCGAACAATCCTCATCTGATAAGGAGCTGAGCAGAAAGCTGTCTGTTCACTTCTCAGAGCCAAGAGGTGGTAACGATTTCAGGAAAAAACAACAGACGTCACTTAAGACACAGTCATCCATCTAAGCAGGTGTGCTTTAAATTGCTTTGTGTGTGTGTGTTTTTTTTATATTATTTATTTGTATAAATATTGTACATATCAAACAGGATAAGGTGAATTCTAGAAGTGAATCAAGGAGGATTTTTAAAGTTTTGAAAAACCTCCAACTGGAGGGAGCAGTTTTGGTCAGAAGTTTACATACAGCACACTCCTTGCCATGAATGTCGTTTTGGGATTTAACTATTAATTTAACAGCTTTTCTTGTTTCCAAGTTGGAATGATTATACAACAAAGAATGTCAATAAGTAAAAACAAGAATTGGAAGCTCAGGTTTGAAATTATTGTGAATTTTTCTGTAATCCACCCATGGAAAAAACTATATTCACAGTCTCAAACATATACTGTCCCCTGGAATATTTGGTAAAAGGTCACCTGGCAGACTGAACTTTAACCTTACACTTTTTGCAGTCATCACCTCCACCATATTCCAAGCTTTTAGGCGTAGCGCACAAATTTTCAATCAAGCTGAGGAAGGCCATCTATATAGCTTAATGCTACCCAGTTTGGTCGCTTGCTTTGAAACCATTAGCCTGTTGAAACACTCAGATTCAAACTATTGATTTAAGTTAAAGGAATTGGATTTAATTTTCTTCCTCCATCATTCCAATCACTTTGTTTAATACACCAGAAACAATGGCAGTGACTGCCTGTAGCAGTCAGATATGCACTACTTGTACATGGATTGAGATTTTAGTCTTCTCTCAAGGTTTCCTCCAGAAAACGTGCTAAGCTCGGCAGTTACTCATCCAGCGACCCGTCGTGTTTTTGAGTTAAAAGATATTTAAAGTTGACAGGAAATTAGAAAATTTCCATTTGATAATTACATGTTATTGGAAGTTTAATATCTGAACACCAAGTATAAAGTCTTAAAAAAAATGCAAACATAAAAAAAACTTAAATAAATAAGCAATGCTAAGCCTGGTGGGGGCACAAGTAAACCCTGGTGGCCTGCCAGGCTTATAACACACTGGGGGAAACCCTGCTTCTCTGATCTTAATTTAAAGAAAATCCAGAAGACATTTTACTTTTCAATGTGGGTAAAGACAACTTTCAATGAAGCTTCAATTTTATCTGGACAGTCACCATCTCAAGACTTGGTTCACTGTGGACGTAGTTTCCTGAAACAGCTTGAACATCCTCATCAGCTTTCATTTTTCTGAGAGGAGCAGATTAGGTTGAACGGTTGAAACTTGGCACAGTTAGGTAATGCAAAATGAAGATCCAAAACAAACAATAGCTACAAATCTACTAAAAGTTCCAACCTCAGCTATGAAGGAAATCTGTGAGTTACGCCTAAAAGCAGCATCGAGTCTTTCGAAAGGAGCGGTCAAACATCCAGGAAGAGTTATAGTGGAAACTTGTTGAAGCTTCAAAAAGCTTGTGGTTGATGTTCAGCTATTGAAGCAACACATAAGCAAATTAATGTTTATTTTGAAGGCGATTTTTAAAATGTATAAAAGGCCATACAGTTCAATCTTTCCAATCTAGAACCTAATATTCATAAGGTTATAACGACATCCTTAAAATCTGATTCAAAACGGATTTTATGTACATCAGTGTTTTAGCGGTATGTTCTTAAAGCAAAAAAAGGTCATGAACTTTGAATAATTTCTGCTATTTCACAATTGCTCCTATGATCTTATTCAAAGTTACAGTGAAGAATAACAATTCAGTGGCTGTCTCAGAGTTATGAGACCACACCTGTGTGACAGACACACCTTATGTACTGAATGTTTCAAGCGAAACACAAAAACATTTGTGTAATCTTCTTCAGAGGCTTTTGACGCAGAATGCTTTGTCACTGAGAAGTGAAAGATTATTACTGCGTCCATGTTAGTCCTGACAAAATGTCCACATTGATGGCTTTTTTTATTATTATTATTTAACTGGTTTATTTATTCTTTATATATACAAGGTATGTCGTTTTGTTACTTTTCATGCACATTTGTAACATTTGATCTGATTTTGTAGGGGGAAACATTTCATTTAAAACCTTCTGTTTTGTCCATCTGGCTGTTTTTGTGGTTTCGTTTCCTGCTTTGTGTTTGATGTTTCTTTGATCGCTAAACATCACTGCTGTGAAAGAAAGTCATCAGAAATAAGGGAGAGTATGTCCGCCCCTTTTTAATTATGAATGTACTTTAAGGCCATATGTGGAAAAACTGCTGAATTTGTTCTGCAATTTTACATTACTTTGATCATATCCTGAATATTCATGTAATTTTACATCGATAGATAAATATAAATAAATCTGGAGGAAATAGACACACTTGCTGGATGGTAACAGATGAGCATCGTTTTCCAAAGTTTCATGACATTTCCGAATGATTTGATAAAAGTTCTGCTGAGTTGGATTGTATTTTACTCATCCAAGCATCAAACACAAACGGCTCTTCTATCCCTGAATGATTTGTTGAAACATGTTTGTGAACCTAAAGTGAAACTTTTTGTAAATATGTGTGCGCATATGCAAGGCTTGTACGTGTTGTCATTTCAATAAAAACAAATAAATAAATAAAAACTGTTGCTAAAAATAATTTCACACGACTCTCTTATGAAGAACGTCTTCACTCCTCTTCCTCTGATGCAAAACTCTGCTCGCTCGCTCGTTCTTCCTCGTCCGTTTGCACACGGATAGAAGGGACGCTCACACGTCTCTTCCTGGCCAGAGACAGCGCGATGCCTTTCTTGTAATAAGCGCATTCATTGATGAAGAAAGCGTAGAGCGCTTCGTCGCCCTGGTATTTCACTGTTTCTCCTGAGAACGTCTGGAAGAGGGGCTCTCCGGGGCGGAGCAGGCAAAAGTCTCGGTCCTGTGAGAGAAAGCACTTTGAGGTTTTAAAACCTGAGTAAAGTGAAACCAAACATGAAAATGGACATGTTCAAAGCTTAAAACAGTTGAAGCCGGTGAAGTATGAAAATGTCAACTGGGGTCATTCATAAATGAATTAACCAACATTTCCTGAAACAGATTCCTGGTTTTGTTGCAACAGCAAAAACCTGACATAAAATCATGTAGAAAAATCCAACCTTTGGATGAGAGACATTTAGTCAGCAGTTGGAAAATCAAAAGCAAAGAACTGTTACACAATCCAAGAAATTTCCATTTCTGGAAGTTAAAAACTTAAGTTAGAAGTTAGAAACTTTTAAAAAATAGTCTATGAACTCCTGGTGCAGGAATATGCTGTGTCACAAAACGGTAATTTCTTAAAATGGGAAAGACAAGAGCACATGTCATTCAGGTGAAGCAGCTGTGTGCTGAGCTCCAAAAACTCAGCAATTTTCTACAAAAATAAAAATCTTTGCCTTTTTACAAAGTAATATCACTTCATTTACTAAAAGTGAATCCAACAGCATAAACATTTATTTAGGTTGTTACAATGAGCTAGAGGCCTGAGTTGAGACTAATCTCAACCAAAACATGGTGACAATTTAAAGTTGGACACGTATTTTGAAAGAGAATAAAAGTTGTTAAACCTGAATTTAATGCCTGCAACATGTTCAGAAATGTTAGTAGAGTTAAATCACGTTTTTATTTCATTTTTGTCAACCAACAGTGTTGTTTTTATGAGAAATGCTTTCATTCAGTCAGGCAGAGGCTGAACTTTGACTCGTCACCAAGTCTGCATCAATATTAGGCTTCATACGTCAAATGAAAGCAATTTAATGTTTTTACTGTTGATGTTTTCTATTCTCGTTGCTTTTATACGTGAAGCTACCAAGATTTTATTAAATTTCAGGGTTTCCCCCAGTGTATTGTAGGTCTGGCGGCCTGCTATGCTTTACTAGCGCCACCACCAGGCTAAGCCTTTCTTGTTTTTTTTTTGTTTTGTTTATTTTTAGGAACATAACATAAATTTTTAAGCCGGACTGCAAGTGTTTCTGTTGCTCCGAGAGTTTCACCATCAGAGCAGATTTATTCCTAAAAGATATGTTTATAGAATAAATGTTTACAGTTTAGCATTTAAAACCGGACCAATCACATCGCTGGCCTCTGCGCGTTGCCTCGCGCTCTGCAGCAGCTGGATGTCTAAAGTTTACCTCAGCGCGGATCCCGCGCGCCTCCTTTCACTCCAACTGGACACAGGCTGACCGCTATGGATATTTACATCAACCCATAAACCCCCTGTGAGGAATTATGGTTAGTTATGAAGAGTTATTGATTAAGGTAAGAGTTTAAATGCTGTCAGCCATTTTGTCATAAACATTTGTATGAATGCAGCAGCGCCGTATTTTTGCTTACTCTGTCATACCATGAAATCACCGCGGTAAAGCTAGCCGGCTCTGACTCCAGCCGGCCCAGCACATGATATACAAGTGCGCGGTCGCTCAAGAGATTATGGTACACACATTTACGTGCTGCTTTCACAATAAAAGCGCACATCCGGTCCATGTTTAAGCTATATAGGTAGTGCTGTCTTTAGGACATTCCATGGGCTGGTCATCTTGGAAAGCACAAGACAATGGCCCGCATCAGAAAATATTTTGATTGGCCTGGGATACGATCTGATGTGACTCTGTTCTGCAAAAGCCTGCCCTCAGTGCCTGAAGACCACTCCATACCATCCTCAGACAGATAGCCTGACAGAGCGCTTCAATCAGACCTTGAAACAAATGTTGCGCAAGTTTGTCAATGAAACCGGTACAGACTGGGTCCAGTGGCTACCTTACCTTCTCTGCATATAGAGAAGTGCCGCAGGCCTCTACTGGTTTTTCCCCCTTTGACAGTGTTGCAGAACGGTCTTGGTCTCGAGACCATTTATTGATGGTCTCGTCTCGGACTCGACCGCATTTGGTCTCGGTCTTGTCTCGGTCTTGGACGCTGAAGACTCAGCATTTTATTTCAAGACCAGTCGAGATCGCAACTGTGAAAATATCATGCAAATCGCACCGATTAAAATCCAACCAATAACGTGTCTTGCCGATTACGTGTTTCTGTTTCCCCCGCCCCACCTTTCATTCGCACGTGGCGCTCTGAGACAGGCGCAGTGGTTTTTCTCTCAGCGGCAGAAGATGTCTGTCTAATCGTCAGTAATAGAATAGCGCTGCATAAATCATAAGAAATCAGAAGACCACAGCCAACTCAGCAGCGCTTCGCTTTCACAGACGGTGGGAACAACGTCTTACTTTTTTCGTCACTTAGAAAAGTAGCTCAAAGAAAGGTAAGCTCCGATGACGTGATGTTAGCAAAGCTAGCTGTACAGAGACACATAAGCATTGTGATGAAAAAATGTTATCACTCACTGCCTGAATTATTGTGCGGAGATGTTGACTGACCTGTCGCATATATAGGACAACGCTATGTCCAAAAGTCTGCAATATAGTGATGTGACATTCAGGAACAGTATGATTAATCTGCTCATCTCTTTACTTATTAGATAGGACTGGAGTGTCACTGAGAGTCGTTCTATTAGATTACCATACGCTGTCAGAATAGCATACATGCAGTGAGTACCAGGCCTGCACATGCGCATTAAGAAGTCCGACAGTCAGAGGAGTTGTCAGTTCACCATATGCAGCAAGTTCTGACGAAAATAAGTCATTAAATTGTTTTCAATGATAACTATATAGATATACATGCGTTGTCGTGGTTTCAAAGTGTATTTAAAGCAAGGTCAGCTGCAGCTGCAGTCAACTACAACACACACCCATGTAAAACTC